GCAAGCACATGAAGTAAGATTTGCACCCTGAAAAGTGAAATAGATTTAAATCATGAATAGTGTCTGTTAGACGTATCATGAGAAACTGATTCAATAGAAATCAAGTGTTTTTCAACATTACTTAAGAAATACACTAGTATATGTATTTTGCTTTTGTAAGACATCGTAAACTGGTCATTGCTTTTCGATTTAAAAAATTAACGTAACCTCTCCATGTATTTTACCAGTTAACATGTTTCATTTCATTTCGTCTAGTTTCCGTTCATATCAAATCATGTAACTGTGAGTCGGATTTTGTGATCACATTTGTTGGTGATGAAAGACAAACATGCACCGGGATTAATTGACCACATCAGATTTAGCTGGGTTCGTTCAGACAAGTGATATGTTTAAGCGTGAAGAAGAGCTGTTAAAAGGTTACAAAATAACCGCTCCTGAATGTACTGAGATTTAATTGCTGCACCAATTAACTGGCAATTCTTCTACCTGTGACCTGAATACGCACCCGATCAAGAGGCTGCGGCAACTGCCCTTAAAACTTAACCAGAATAACAAAGCGAAATATAAATTTTAAAACCAGTCTCGCTACATCGAAGTAGGATCTGAAGCCGATTTAACATAGTTTGTTTTCTGACATATCCAGACTAGTATATCGGAAAATAGTAAGCGCTGCCCTCACCTAAGTTTGTATTAGTAGTCAACCAGACAAATTTCTTCAGGGATAGGATGCCATACTATTCCGTGACCGGTTTTGAGGCCACTTGTACAAACTAGTTTGTGCTTCACGAAAGAGTGCGAGTGCCAATAATTAACGAATAAAGACCAACTTATTATTACTTGCTTGGAATGAAACCAAAATAGAGATGAAAAACTTTAATGTCGATTGACGTCAGTTGCGATGGAGGTATTCCAAAAGACTTACTATATGTGCGATTTGCAGCAGAAACACAGGAAATGAAAGACGGGGGTGGGTGGGATGAAAAAAGACACGCATGAGATTCAACATGAAATAAAAAAGAAAATCTAATGCAACAAGTGAAGTAACTAAACTTATTGTAACGGACATTGTAAATGGTTACGGGCAACTACTTGTTATGAGTCGATTTGAGCTTAACGATCTGAAATGGTTAATCGAATTGACATTTTCATCTGTCTTCATTTTATTTTTTATTAAAGATACTATAATACTTTAAAGGGATTGAGATGTTACTATTTGGGATACATATGTGGGTGCATACGTACACACACACACACACACACACACACACAAGCACACAAACACAAACACACACACACATCTTATTTATTGTTTTCCAACACGGGCAGTGATCAGAGAAACTAATCGGGTGAAGAGTACAAATTATTACCCACAACATCCAGGAATCAGGAGAGCACGCAAGTGATGCAAAGGCTCTCAAATGCTCATTCAGAGCAATTTTATTCAGCTCTGTATAGGTATCCATGTTGAGTATGAAGGTGTAGCGTTTCTTCAACCGACAGTTTCGCAACGGCAGTTTTCTTTTCTTACCTCTTGTTTTCTCTAAGCTTCTTGATAGATCCATTCAAGCTGGACGTGATCATCAAATCACGTACCAGAAGTACTTTCACCCTACGCTGGTGACGAACAGCAGGATACGTTCAGTTTCTAACCAGTCCTGTATAATTGAGGACTATCAAGGCATGGTACATAACCATGGAGTACCTATCAGAACCATTAAGGTTCAAAAATCAAGTAGCGACTGAGTTATCGANGTTAAAATACCGTCAGGTTTTTCCCTTCTTCCTTTAAGGACCCTTATCCACCGGACACAATCAAGTGTCGAGATTTAGCAGTCATCGCCATTAGTTGGCGATAGCTATACTCTGAGGAAAGTTCCTCTATTGGATAAAGCAATTTGGACATTTCCAGGATTAAGTTTTACTTTAACTATTAACTTTCTTTTAATGAACTCGAAAAGCGTGCACCGACACAATTCCCCACGGTGAGCTCTGTATCGCACGCTTTCGTTGCACTGATCAGATCTACTTTCAGGTTTCCGCTGCCGTTGCTTAAATATCAGCCTAGGCCTAGCTAAATCTACTTCCAACGTT